GTTAAAACAGATGAAAGTAAGTGCTTGATTGTGATTCTGAGCATCGTATTTGAACCGTCCGATTGCACTGACACGTCGCTGTTTTATGTCGTAGCTGTTATGTTTCCTGTAGTTTTCCTCCTTCGGACATACCGCTGCTGAAGTCTGGATGGAGGTTGTAGTTGTGCAGCTCCCTGATCACTGTAAAGGTGCGGGCGGTGGTCAGTGGCTTGTAGCTACAATTCCTACAGACGGCAAGTACATAATACTCCTTCCCCAAAATGTTCTTACTTTTTATAAGCCCTCTCTTTTCCCCCAATGATACGCGATTCTACCGTTTTCTTTTATATTTATTGTCTAGTAACTTAATTTGGATAGGATGCACAAAATAGAAACCGATTATTTGGCCCAACTAACCTATGCTATTATACTCCCCTGCAGCCTTTTCCTGTGCATTCCCATCTAAATCTGTCAGAAGAGCCCTCTGTTACCATTTCTTTATTTATCTAGCCTTCATCTAGAACGTATGGTGGTCTGCATATAGATATGCATCTATTCTATTCTTTTAAATCACCCTTGTAGAAATGACTTCCACATTCTCAGACAGTCTTGAGTAAGGAATTTTTTTCTGCTGATTTCTCTGATCTTGATCAGTTGTGCATTTGACGTAGGCTGTAGTTTTTTAGTTCCCTTCAAGTGGAAATGTTCTGTGTTCACTTTGTCAAAATCTTTAATTTTAAAGACCTCCATTTCTTCAACCCTCAGCCTTCTCTTTTCAGAAGAAAAGAAATCCAGCTACAGATAGTATAGCCCCCTGTTTCTGGTAACATCCTCCTAACCCATTTTGCATTTTCTCTTCTGCCTTGCTGTCATTTTGTAATGTACCAGAATTTGATGTGCTTCAGCTGTGAATTTGTAAATTTTGATAGATGTTTAGCATAACTTTTTCTTTCAATTCTGCCCGTCTTTTAAAAAAAATACTTCACTTACCTAGATTTAATGACCACCTTAGTGTCTATCACTATTTATTTGTATGGCCAAATTATTTTGCTCCTTTGCTCTAATTAGATTCTTCTTTTCCAAGTAAAATGCATTTCCTTATTTTTCTTTCTGAAATACAATACCTTGTCTGGAGTTTAGAAGAATGAGATCTAGTTAAGGTACGTAAGATGCTAAAGGAGATTGACAAAGTGTACATAAAAAGGATATCCCCTCGTTTGGGGCAATCTAGAACAAGAGATTGTTGTTTTACAATAAGGAGTAACAGATTTAAAACAGATGAGGTGAAATTACTTCTCTAAGGGTCATAAGTTTGAGGAATTCAGTACTCCAGAGTGCAGTGGATGCTGGAACATTGAGTAAATTTAAGGAAAACTTAAATTATTAATTAGTAATGGGTTGAAGGGTTATGGAGAGTGGACAGGAAAGTGGAATTGAGCCTGAGATGAGATCAGCCATGATCATATAAAATGGCCCACTCCTCCTCCTCGTTCTTATGTTCTTGTATGTTTTTATTGGTGATGAACTTCATTTGCCAATTAAATTTAAAATCTTATAACTTGTTGCAATTTGAGAAAGAACTTGAATTTGAATAGTGTCTTTCATAACCCCAGCATGGCCCAAAACATGTTGCTGCCAATTAAATACTTTTTTTTCACTATAGTTCCTGCTGCAAAATAAGAAATGCAGGGTGGTCAATTTGGTACTGCAATCTCTTTCTAACGGAAACCTGCTGATCAGAAATTTGGTTTAATCGTTAAACCTGAATATGACACAAACAAACCAGTCAGACAGTATCTATACTGAAAGGCCATCTAAACAAATTTCTATCTGTTCATTAACACTGCACAGAAGAGCATTAATTGGATTTAGAGCATCCGCTCTGAAAGATGGCACTTCTGTGCAGTACAGAGGGAGTGGTGTACTGTCCGGAGTGTCAGCACAGTTTATGTACTCTGTCGCTGAGCAAAATGGGAACCCTCAAACCTCTAACTTAGACAAGATGTTCCCATTGAGTATTGTTTCTATTGCTTCCTTGGGTAACAAAGGTGGTGTTTAAGTGAGAGGAATATAGTAATTAGGAGCAAGCTTATATAGCCCAAAGTGCCTGATCTGCTGTTCAGTGCAATTGTGGTTGATCTTTGGTCATGGCATTTTCTTGCAAGACCCCTATCTCCCTTGACTATCTAAGAGATCAAAAATTTGTCTATCTCGGCCTTTAGTTATGTTCAACAATAGAGTATCCACAACTCTTTGTGTAGAAAATTCCAATAATTTACAGCCTTTTGAGTGAAGAAATTTCTCTTCATCTCAGTCCTAAGTGATTGTCCCATTGTCCTGAAACTGTGCTCCCATCTGCCTAGATTCTCCAGACAGGGGAAATAAGCGGTGTCCCTACCCTGTCATCTCCATCAAAATCTTGAATTTTTTTTTGAGATTTACGTCACACTTTTTTTTTTCTAAACTCTGGAGAATATTACACCAGTTTACTCAGTCCCTCATCAACGGTTGGCCTTTCATCCCAGGACCCTTTGAAGTACAGCCTCCAATGCAAGGATATCCTTCTTTAAATACAGAGACCAGAACTGCACAAAGTATTGCAGGTATGATTTCACTAAAGTCCTATTCAAAAACTGGAAATAATTAGGTAAATGAGACAATTGGGTTAAAGGAAGTTTTCAAAGAAAGCAAGTAGTTTACAGGATGACATGGTTCCAGATACCCTGGAGATACTGGATTGAAAAATGTTCTAGTACATAAATGTACCAATCTAGGCATAAATTGGTCTGTTTTGTAATTACCCCAACTGGATTTGCCTAGATTAGTACAGCTCTGTCAATATTCAAGAAGCTCAGCTGATCAAAGCAGACAGCTTGATCGGAGTTCTGTCTACCACTGTAAATATTCACTACTTCAACTACCAACACACAATGCATAACAGTTTGCATCATCTACAAGATGCATTTTGGCAACTTGTAAGGCTCTTTCAACAGCATGTTATAAACCCTACCACCTAGATGGACAAGGCAGCAGATGCATGGGAATGCCATCGCTTGCAATTTCCCCTCCAAACCATGCTACATCCTAACTTGAAAAACTATATTGTCAGTCCTTCACTGGTGGTGGATCAAAATCCTGGAATTACCTTCCTAATACTAAAGTTATACACAGCTGATGGGCTACAGTAATTCAGGAAGGCAGCTCAGTCCCACCTTCTTTAGGGCAATTAGGAAAGGGCAACAAATACTGGTCTTTCGGTGATGGGTCAATATTCCAAGCATGAATTAGAAAACGCTGTTAAGTGAGGAGAAAAACAGCATTGTTGGTGACTTGTTATTTGCGCAGTTATTCCCTCAGAAGGTCAGAAATAGGGGTGTTCTCTTGTTGCACAAGGTTCAGCACTATTCAGACTTCTCAGATACTGAGTAGTCCATGTCCAAATGCAGCAAGATGTAGACAACATCCAAACTTCCCTCTGATAAATGGCAAGTAACATTCCTGCCAGGTAACGATGATCTCTAAGTTGAGACTCTCTCTCAACTCTCCACAGCCTGTCCACCATCTACAAGGCACAAGCAAGGACTGTTATGACTGTATTACAAGTTATATACTTCGTAATGCTCACTGTCATTAAAATAGAAAAAGAATCTTTCAAAGGCTTCCTGAAGCACATTTGGTTGTTATTTGGATTAGGCTGTTATTCTTCTAGGAAGCAGTCACGCAGAGCCTATTGAAATCCAATGAACTCTGCCAAGAATAACCAAAAGTCATGAACAATAGCTCCCCCTAGCAGTGTTAATAACCCTGTTTCAGAGATAGTAGGAACTGCAGATGCTAGAGAATCTGAGATAACAAGGTGTAGAGCTGGACGAACACAGCAGGCCAAGCAGCATCATAGGAACAGGAAGGCTGACGTTTCGGGCC